TAATGTACAGTATGTGGAAAATAATGTGCTTTTTGAACCTTAAACCGCATAAACACATTTCATTACACCAAATACACAACATAATGTTCTTTTTAGCAACATCATATGACCCCTTTAAGTGAAATTAACTGTGCAGCAAATGATGGTTTGATGGCTCTCTTTCATACACCTCTGTTTTGCTCTCTCTACAGTGTTTGTGTGGCAGCGCTGTACTGATGTCCCTCAAGCATTCTGGCAAGTGTTCAAAACGTCTGTTAACACTGTTAAGTATAGTAAACATTAAACTTTTGCTACTCAGCCTGGACTATTTAACATACAGACTTCACAGACTTTCTTTTGTCGATTTTAAGCATTAGATGTGTACTTCCGTTAATTCACCCGAAAATGAAAATTTGCTATTAAAATTGATGTTTCTTCATCAGAACAGATTTAGAAATGTAGCATCACTTGTTCACCAATGGATGCTCTGCAGTGAATGGGTGCCGTCAGAATGAGAGTCCAAACAGCTGATAAAAACATCACAATAATCCACAAGTAATCCATACCACTCCAGTCCATCAGTTAATGTCTTGAGAAGACAAAAGCTGTGTGTTTGTAGGAAACAAATCCATCAAGATGTTTTAACTTCAAACCGTTGTTTCTGGCTAAAATACGAGTCCATAATATCGCTTCCTCCAGTGAAAAGTCTGTCCCCTGTTGTCTGTCTCATCAAAATCCACCTACATTTGTTTAGAGCTGTTTTGGACTGTTTTTTTTTTTTTGCTTGTAAATGGTGCTTGTCTGTGCATATTTCTCTCCTGATTCAGACCAGACGGCTTTTTCACTGGAAAAAGCAATATTATGGATAGACGTTTGAAGTTAAAAATGTTTCGATGGATTTGTTTCTTACAAACACACAGCTTTCTCAAAATGTTACTGGAGTGGTGTGCATTACTTGTGGATTATTGTGATGTTTTTAATCAGCTGTTTGGACTCTCATTCTGACGGCACCTATTCACTGCAGAGCATCCACTGGACTGTTAACAGGTGTTGCCAGTCTTTGCTAGTGCTGCTGTTTCCTTAGAAAAATGTGAATCTCATTGCAATTCATGTTATGTTCTCCTCAGGAATGAGTTATTTATAGTGCATTAAAACGTCTGTGTTTTGAGTACTTGCTGATCTTTTATTCAGGACTTCTGCTGTGTTTACAGCGGAAGCATGCTGTGATCCATCTGTGTGTGTATGAGGGAGAAAGAGAGGCCAAACACACACTGGTAGTGCTAATGTCCCTAATACATGTTTAAATCAACCATATTTGGGACTGTAACACATTTTAGTTTAGTTAAAATTGATCTTTTGATGTTCTACAGAGGCATTCATAATTCTAATACTCCTATTGGGGATTCGTGTTCTCAAATCTGTTTTGTTTTATGTTGAATCCTCTAAGAAGAAACACCATAAAGATGCTTTGGTTTGAGGAATTTATTTATTTATTTGGTGTGTTTCATCATGTAACCAAACCAAATAGATGGTTAATATCTTAGCAGTATTATAAGACATTATATATTACGTTATATCCTCCTGGGACCCAGGCATAGACTTTAAATATAATATTTTGTAATTATCATTTAAATCTGACTAACTTTAAAATTGTTTGTCGTAAATAAACCTCTCTTACACGTCTTACACATACATGTCTTCTGTAGAGGACACCAGGACAAACAGCTGTTAATCAGGCATTTTGGGGAAACACAACAAGAAATTATAGATCAATATTCCTATGAAATATGAGATATTCTTATGAAAATGTTGCCAAGTTATTACTCCCATTATAACACTTCTTTTTTTCATTATGGTTTGCCCCAAGAACATATTAATATGCAAATTAGATGCAGTGTACAGATACATTGTATAGAATGGGAATACCAATTTATGGACATTTTACGCACATATAAAGTACAGTAGTATATCAAATCATCCTGTTATATCTTTCATAACATAGTTGAGAATCATCTTTGTACAAAGTTTGGTTAAAAATAGTCTGAAACCTAAAAACTGATTGGTGAATGAAAAAATAAATAATTATTTTTGCCTATACATGCCTTTTCATGTCTATTTATTGTTTTAATAACTTAGTCCTGGCGTCCTCTACAGAGAACACAGAGTAAATATTTATGTTTCTTCTACATTTGCTTTTTAATGCTCCAACCAATGTAATGCCATAAATGAGAGCCCAAACAGCTGATAAAAACATCACAATAATCCACAAGTAATCCACACCACTCCAGTCCATCATTTAATATCTCATGAAGCAAAAAAGTATGTTTTAAAGAAACAAATCCATCATTGTCCATCGCAAATCCATCGCTTCTGGCCAAAATGTGGGTCCATAATCCGTAATAATGTTTCCTCCAGTGATAAAGTCCATCTCCTGTTGCCCTCTCACATCAAAATCCACCAACATATTTATTTAGAACTTTTTTTTTTTTGCTTGTAAATGGTGCTTGTCTGTGCATATTTCTCTCCTGATTCAGACCAGACGGCTTTTTCACTGGAAAAAGCAATATTATGGATAGACGTTTGAAGTTAAAAATGTTTCGATGGATTTGTTTCTTACAAACACACAGCTTTCTCAAAATGTTACTGGAGTGGTGTGCATTACTTGTGGATTATTGTGATGTTTTTAATCAGCTGTTTGGACTCTCATTCTGACGGCACCTATTCACTGCAGAGCATCCACTGGACTGTTAACAGGTGTTGCCAGTCTTTGCTAGTGCTGCTGTTTCCTTAGAAAAATGTGAATCTCATTGCAATTCATGTTATGTTCTCCTCAGGAATGAGTTATTTATAGTGCATTAAAACGTCTGTGTTTTGAGTACTTGCTGATCTTTTATTCAGGACTTCTGCTGTGTTTACAGCGGAAGCATGCTGTGATCCATCTGTGTGTGTATGAGGGAGAAAGAGAGGCCAAACACACACTGGTAGTGCTAATGTCCCTAATACATGTTTAAATCAACCATATTTGGGACTGTAACACATTTTAGTTTAGTTAAAATTGATCTTTTGATGTTCTA